GCCCTCAGGCAGTAAGCATCACTATTACATATCAGTGCTGCCTCTCTCCTCTGCATATCTGCATTGCATTTATCCCTGTGCACTGTGGCACCTTGTTCATAGATCTTTTTACTTGACTGGGAGCACTTGTTGAGGGGCTTGGCCATGTATATTCATTTTCATATTCTCAAAAGCTGGCAGAAAGCCAGACACTCAGTAAACGCATGCTGAACTATAAATAAATGGAACTAATAAGCAATTACAACTGTAGAACACTTGACAATTCACACATGACATATTTTATCTCTTGATCTTCACAATAATACTGATAAGGTAGACAAAGGATATATTTATTACTAGGGTTCAGGGAGGTCTCGCCAAGGTCATAAACTGTAACTCACCACCTCACTTCTGTACTGAGCACAGACTGAGGCCCACAGAAAATTTATTAGACAGTCAGGGAACTTGATGGACTTTGGCACCATCTCTGCTCCAACAGTAAAGGTTGTCCAACTTTCCTGAGCTTATGACTTTCCTACGAATTTTCCTGGAAAAGGGGAAAATTCTAACAAGGGGCTCGGGCCTCTTCTCCACACACATGTAACTTCCTGTGAAAAAGTTAGTCTGACCCAAAGAAAAAGATCTGTAGAGCTGGATTCTCCTTGAGAATAACCAATAACTGGGTACAGTGCCTTGCACAGGCTAGGCAATCAATAAATAATGGATGAATGCAAAAAAAGAAATGGAGAATAAAAGAAAAGTTGGGTTAAGGAGGGTCTCCCTGGTGGCTCACTCAGCACTATAAAGCTATCCATAGCCACTGCAGCACAAGTTCAATCCCTGGCCAGGGAGATGACTCACATGGCACAGCAGCCCTCTCCTGTCTCACCCACTTCTCCCCTCAGCAGTGTACTTTGTCGATCTGCCTGTTGTGCTCCCCACTCTGTCTCTGGTGAATTCTCTTTCCCCTATCCCCTATACCTCTGGCCTATACCCTATCTCTTATATGTATAAATAAATAAAATAATTACACACACACACACACACACACACATATAACTATGGTTAAGGAGGAGCTAAGGCTTAGGCCTGGAAAGGAGAGGAAAGCCCTAAGCTAAGGGAGCCATTAGCTAACTCTAAGGGATTGTCACTCTCTTAAGTCCAGAGTCAGTGACAGAACACACAAAGCTGAGGGCAGAAGATTTCTAATCTGATACACCAGGGAAGTAGAATGAGCTGCCAGGACATGGTGGCAGGCAAAGATGGTTGGTACTAAGAAACAAAAAGGGGAGCAAAACGTACATCTTGAAAGCTGCAGAACAGTGAGCTTATCAATAATTCATGACAAAATTCTAGAATATATGATTTTTTAATATATACTGGTTTACGACACTGAATATGACTTAGAGGAGTAAGTTCACGCCTTCATAGATATGTTACCACATTAAGCATACCACTAAAACACCTATAAACCTCCAAAAGGATGTATTTTTTTTAATTATTCTTAAACATGTAGGCAATTACTAGCCAGTATGGGTTTCTTAGGAATAAGACAAGATCACCAGAATAGCCTGGTGAATTCTTTTGGGAAGTAGTTCTGCACAAAAAAGTAAGAGAAATACTAAACACAATTTTATTGTAGCAAGAAATTTAAGAAACTTCTTAAAATTCTGTGGACAAGACAGAAAAGAATGAAGTTTAAAAAATAAAAGAATGAAATTCGGTGGATTTACAGTTGTAAATGTCAAATAATGCTTCAAAAGATACTGATCACATGCTCCAGGGCTCTGTACTTACTAGAGTCTATATAGACATTTTAGTCAAAGGCTGACATGTAAAGTATATGATGGTAGGTACTGAGTCTGTCTAACTCACCAGAGCCTAAAACATTGCCTGCTAGACAGAAAGGTGATCAATAAAATTTCTGAATAAATGAATCCATAGGAAGGCTTCTCACAATATTTGCAGGCAACAAAACATAAGAAGAGATGCTTAATACTTTTATCTTTTATTTCATGAGTAACTTTTCATGCAAAGTCAGATAGTAAACAATTTAAGTTTTACGGAACAGTCTGTCTCAGTTTTATAACAAACTTTCTCAATATATTTGCTGTCTGTATCTACTTAGCTACCTACCTATAAAGTATGTAAGCTGGCTAACAGTTAAAACAAATCAGAGGTTGACAAAAATTTTAAAAAAGGAAAGAAATGAAAAGAAGAAAAGGGGAGTGAGAAAGGAAGGAGAGACAGAAAGAGACTGAGGGAAGGAAAGAAAAGGATTGGTAAATTACAGTCCAGATGTCAAATTCAGCCTACTGCCTATTTTTATAGGCACAGATCCATATACGTTTACATATAGTGTCTATGATTGCTTCTGTGCTACAATGGCCCAACGAAGGACAGGTGTATCTCACAGATACAGTGGTTCCAGAACACAACAATAAAGTGAGTATTGCATTTAAGTAAGTCACAAGAAAGTTTTTTGTTTCCCAACACATATATAAACTATGTTTACTATACCACAGTCTATAAAGTGTGCAATAATATTAGGTCTTAAAAAATGTACATATCTTGGCCCTCCCTGGTGGCACAGCGGGTTAAAGCACAGCACTGAGAAGCTAAAGCCACTTCCGCATGAGTTCGATTCCTGCCTGCCCCGGAGGTGACCACATGGTGTGGCAGACCTCTCCTGGCCCGCCCGCTGCTCCCCTCAGCAGTGTACTTCGTAGATCTGCCTGTTCTGCTCCCCACTCTGTCTCTGGTGAAGCCTCTCGCCGCTCCTGAGCCTCTGGCCTGTACCCCAGTTTTGTATGAATAAATAAATCTTAAAAAAAAAAGTACATATCTTAAAAACTAGCACTAAAAAATACTAACCATCAACCAAACCGTCAACAAGTTGCATTGTTTTGCTGGTGGCATTGTAATAGCAATATCAAAGGTCACTGAGCACAGATCATGGCAGCAGATATAATAATATATTTGATGTACTGCAAGAGTTACCAAAATGTGATGCACAAACATGACATAAGCATGTGCTCTTGGAAAAAGTGTTGACTGACTTGTTTAATGAGGGTGGCCACAAAGCTTCAATTCATAAAAATGGCAGTGCTTGTGAAGCCCAATAAAGCTAAGTGCAATAAAGTGAGGTATGCCTGTACCTCACAAATGAGAATGACCCACAAAGCTAAAAATGCTTACTATCTGGGTCTGCAAAAAATAGTTGACTGACAAGTGATCTGGAATGTTGAATATGTCTTCTTCAGTCTGAAGAGAAAGTTTAAAACACAAAAATATAAACTTTGAATGCGGGGAATGAGGACTGGTATGACAACTAAGTTTCACAGTTCTGTAATTCTGTGAAATCAAAAATACTTACTGAGCACTGCTGGGAACCATAGAGCAGAAAAGAAGATATTCAAATAATCCCCTCCCTTCTGGTTGGCCCTGCTTTCTTAGTCAAGGCTCCTGCTTGCTTTTTTGGTGAAAACACCCAATGGAAGAGAGAGCTGAGGCTGGCACTGCTGTGTTTGAGGAGAGGACAGCCTGTAAGTTGAGACCCTACATAGCAGGCTGCAAATACAGGGCAAGTTTGGTTCTCATAAAATTCTCCTGTTTGAAACTATAAAGTGAACATAATCCCTCCAGTTTAGTGAGGGATCCAAGGAGCACAGGTCATGGCCTGCACGTGGAACTGTCCGCTGAGGAGAAGAAAAGAGACACATGGGCAGATGAGAGTTCAAACAAAGAGAAAAAGCCAAGATTTAGAGAACATTCAAAAGAGCAGCTGAGGGCAGGCTATAATTGTTGCCAAGGGTAAGGAAGGCTTTGTGGAGGATCTAGCCCCAGCAACAGAGCTTGACCGGGGTGGGGGTGGGGGTGATGTACGTCACCAGGCAACAGTGATCTGATACTTCTCACTCGGCTCTCCCACTGCTGGTGTAAGAGACCTTGCTGAGGTAGCAATGACACCGCTGCTCCAGCTACCACACGTATGTCAGTCTGCCAGCCTCAGTGATGGCTCTAGGGCTGATTGCACTGTTCCTCTTGGCTCAACCTCCTGCAGACAATGTTCTGACCTTCAAGGAGTCAGTAAAATGTCTGTCCTCCTGGCAGCACTATCAACCCTAAGCAGCCAGTGCTCAGCCACTCTGATTCTAGAAACTAGGGGAATCTCCACCTGTGCAAGTGATCCAGAAGGGTAGGCAGTCAGTGGGCCTAGTCTAAATAAGAATAAGCTCCAATGTAAAATCCTTATTTCCAACTGCAGCCAAAGCAACCTGACTTCTTCACCCCACTTGTATGACCCACCAGAGGCAACATAGACAGACTTGCCCAGGCTCCCTTCAACATACACAGGACCAAGCCTTGGTCAAGGGTATGGTTCCTCTTCTTTCTGCACAAGTCCAAACCACCACCACACAACAGCCGGGGGACACTGAAAATCACTCCATTTTATAAGCATTGACTTCAAGGCACAAAGAAGTTCTATACACTGTCCTGGGCTGGAGTAGTAAGTTGAGGGGCCAGTTGCAGAGGTAGGGTTGTATTTTACATCTAGGATAAGCGAAACAGCAGTCTTCAGCATGGTGCTGAGAGATGTCTGAGACTGAGAAAGTCACTGAAGTTGCTTTTTAGTTCTGGAGCAGGGTAAGTCTGCAAGAAGTAGAAGGAAGAACAAATCCACATTCCATGCATTTACCTTATATATTTGAAGGAATTCTCCATTATCCACTCAGCCCAGGCTCCACAGACTAGAACACTTTTGGGAGAACGCCAGTTGTAAGTATCCCCCTAGCTCCCAGGTCATGTTAGGCCTTTATTTCTCCCCTACCCCTGCCAAACAAGAATTCTGAAAGGACAGACATTATAGAGCCAGAGGGACAATGTTTCAAGCCTTTTATTTTATCCACAAGTTCTCAGACATGCAGGCTTTCACTGAGTTGCTGGTAGAGTCAGCCCAGAGCAAGGCCATCCAAAGGCTAAGGGAAGAGGTCTTAAAAAGGCAGGGAGCCCACACTTACCTTCCAAAGAGTGAATTCCCTGCTCCTTGGCAGTCTTATAAACACTGCTGAAATCATCCCCAAGGTTTGGGTCAGCACCAGCCGCAAGCAGAACCTGCACCACACTGAAGAAATCAGAGACACAAGAGTCAAGGTAGGAAAGACACAGAAGCAGAGATTCTGAGGCATGTTTGGGAGTGGATCTGCCTATGCTCTGGTGAGCATTAACAGTAGTAAGAATGTGAACTCTGGAGGTGCAAAAGATAAGGGTAGGCCAGCTGGCCCTGACCTAACTAGCTAAGGGTGTCTGTCCAAGTTATTTAACACCTCTGGAAGGCTTGGTTTCCACAACTATAAAACAGAGTGATTATTCAGCAATTACTCTTCAAGTACTCATTACATTCCTCAAGTCACATCCCAGGTGCTAGGGCCTGTGTTCTTATGCCATTACAAATCTGAGAAGGGCGCCAATGTAGCATAAAATTAGAGCAAAGTGTGATAAAGGCTATGACGGAAGAAGTGTCATGGGCAGGGAAACCAAAAGAGGATCAAGAAAGACTTCCCAGAGGATGTGGTATTTAAAACATGAAGGCTGAATGGCCACAGCTAGGCTGGTCAAGTAGAAGGAGCCAATGCACGTACAAATCCTGGTGGTGAGCAGAGTGCTTCCCCAAAGAGAGTAGAGAGAGAGAGGAAAGCATAAGGAGGGACAGAGGGAGGTGGGGGTGGGGGGAACCACTGAAGGGCTCAGAGGGGAAATGACATGACTGCATAGGCTTTTCCACATACTTCAAAAGATATACATACTTAAAATATTCAAACCATGCTGAAATATTAAATGAAAATCTCCCCTTACATCCATTGTCTTAATCTAAATTTCAAGAGTAATCACTATCTATGGTTTGTCGTGTTTCTCTCCAAACCTTTGCTATTAGACGCATCATCTCAGTGGCCATGTGAGAATGGAATGGAGGGAGGACAAGAGGTGGGGCCTCCAAAGGGTTAATTTAGGTAAATTTATAAAGCTTGACACAGGGAGTACTCTATGTCAACTTTCCTTCTTTCTTCTATCATGTATCTTGCTAGTGCTTTCTTTCCTAACAAAAAAAAAAAAAAAATCTGTGTTCACTATTAAAAATTTAGAAAATAAAAATATATATATATAATATACGGACTATCCATTTCCAGTGTTTACAATGCATGCCTATTTCTATTTACTTGTATATGAGGTCATATGCTTTTTCTAAAAACATATACATGCTTCAATCTATTAAATATTGCATTGTTTTAATGACTGTATAGTACTCCACTATAAAATTCTATCTTTAGCCAAACCCTGATTATAAAACAATTAGATTACTTTAAATATTTCAATGACATAATACCTCTGATTATTTCCATTGGGTAGGTTCTAGATCAAAAGTGTATGTATTTCTAGGGGTATTGATAAATATTATTAAAATACTAGTATTATTGGCCTTTCAGAAAAATGGCCAATTCTTATTTTTACTAGCTCAATATGAAGGAGAATAACTATTCTGCCTTCCTTTCATCAAAAAAGGTTTTTCCCCCTATTTTTAATTATGTGTTAATCTGGTGAACTGAAAATGGAATTATATTGTTTCAATTTGGATTTCTTTGATTCCTAGTGAGTCTGGAATAAAAGATAAGTTTAACAGTCACTTCTTTTTATTGAAATGATAAGTTTAACAGTCAGTTCTTTTTATAAATTCTTGCTCTTTTCCCATATTTTTCTTAGTATGTTAATCCTTTACTTACTGACCTTCAAAACTTCATTTTATTTTTGAAGGCGTAAATGGCAAGCATTTCAAAAAAATCACTCTATCATGACTATTAAATCACTCTATCATGGCTACAGTTTGGGTTTTTTTTTTTTTTTTTTTGCCTTGTTAGCTTTGCAATCCATGTAACCAGCAGTGTTGATGGTCTTTTTTATACTACCTGATTTGAATTTCACTACCTTTAACATACACAGGACCTAGCTCAATTTCTTGCTGAAGGGATGAATGAGTTTCAGTAACTTCTGAGTCCCTGTGTGTACACTCACACATACACAGGAACACCTCACCGGTAAGTCAAAGAACCAGACTTGTCTCATGTAGCTAATGTTCTTCCACATCTGATCTAACACAGTCAGGTGAGTCTCCTGTGTTTACTTGCCTAACTAAACAGACCTTAAATATTACCTTTCATAGGTAATTTATGCAAGATGTGCATTAGATCTCAAAAAGAGAATAGTCTCCAAGCTGCTAAAATATGACTCTGAAACTCATTTATTTAATTTACAGCAGTCTGCCAGGTTCTCAATTGGAGACTACATACTCATAGTTTACACAGAATTTGGACGTGATTGGCATTCGTCTTTCCATTTCCCAGAATATTAAAACCCAGGAGTATACAGGAGGGCTGTTACAGATAAGCAAACTAGCTCAAGGCAGTGAAAACCAATACCCAATAGAGAGGTAGTATGGTAAGGAGGCTAAGAGTACTGCCTTTAAAACCTAGAACAATCTGAGTATTGAGATAAATAATGACAATAATGAATTATAACCCACTGACTAAGATTCCATGAGTCCATGTGAAAAACAAATTATTAAGTCAGTGGGGGAGAAGGGGAAGTTTGTTCTTTCTTACTGTAGAATGACAAATAATAAAGGTAGAATAAATGATAAATTGTTAATAAGAGTATCTAGTTATATGGCTGTGTTAATATATGTGAAGTGCCTGACACATTAAGTGCCTAACTTATGTTAGTTATTACTACTATGCCCCTGACCCTCGGGTTGGGCTGTGGGGAATCAAGAGAAGTATGAACTAAGACACTTAAGTTGGGGAGACAGCATGACATTTTATAATAAGCAGAGACTTGGGTTCCAATCAAAGCTCTGTCATTTACTGTCTTCATCTTGGACAAGTTACTATTCCTTTGAGACTGTTTCCTTACCAGAATAATGGAGATAATTATGCATCCCTTGGAAGTTGTAAGATGTAAAACTCCATAGTAGCCTGACACATAGAAGGAACTCCACAAATACAAGCTCTCTTCTCTGTTCATGTAATCTTAGTGATAACAAGATGGGCTTGGCTGAAGTGAGCATCAAATCTATCCTTGACCACCCTCAGGACTCATGCTGGCACAGCTCTGTGTTGAGAAGGCAGTTCTACATTCTGCACAGGTTGGTTTGTTTTAAAATCCAAGAAAGAAGGGCTCTGGATCTAAACTCAAAGGGACATAATTTGGTTAATCCTCAGCTGCTGTGTCCAATCACCATTCAATCACACCCCCTCCCATGGCAGGCTGTCCCTCCAGGCAGCTAGTGTCACTAACTGTGCTACCTGGGCCTCTCCAGGTTCATGAGTATTGATTCCATCTGTCCAATTTGCAGGCTGCAAGACGTGTCCAAGCAACCAAGTATGCTGCCCTTGGCCCCAGAGGGCAGACAGTGGTCTGGAAGAGGAAAGTGACTGGCTCAGCTCTGGGGCTGCTAACCCAATCAAACAGAATGGGCAATTCACTTCACAAACTTGGAGGCCAAAGAGGGTAAGCATACAAGCTAGTGACTCATTCCGTAACCTCAGAGAAGATTTCCTTCACTTTTAATAAAACTCAAAAGGCAGCAGCCCCACTGTGGGAATATAGCTATGACTAAAGGAACCTCAGCCCTTCAGTGGTCAAGAGGGGCATCAAATATCTTGCAGATAGCTTTTCATCCACGGGCCATCACATACTTAAAAAGCTTCTATCCCAGAGCTTGTGGAGATGAGGCCCTCTTAGAGATCCAGCCCAGATCAGGCTGAAAGGGCTACATGACTATGATTAGCTTTGGTGACCAAAGTTAGCTTTGATGACCTGTGGGCCAAAGCAGGCAGAAACAGGGTAGGCAGTTAGGCAGGTCAGAGAAAACTAAGGCGAGCTTGGTGAACAGGTTTAGTATTTGTCCAGGTCCAAGAAGCACCAACTTCAGAGCGAAATAAAAGAAAGGGCCAGTGGCAAGAAGCAGAAATGTGAGGAGAGAATAAAAATCCTGGCACTTTGTTAAGGACTAGAAGTTATGATAGAACAGTAGACTACAACCTAATATGCTGGTAGAAACCAGTAATACATGATATTAGGGTCAAGGCCAGGCAAAAACAGCAGAAACCAGGAGGAACAGTGAGGAAACCTTGGAAAAGAAGTGAGTTCTGTTTCTTTGCCTTTTTTTTTTTTTTTTGCAAAATCAGAAACAACCCCCCACGTTGAAAACTGTTTTTGGGAAATGGTAAATCAACCTATCTGGCAGATAAGGGGAATAAAGGGTCCACCATGAACTCTGTTCTGGTGCTGGTATACTGGCTGTCAATTTGTAGGTGTGGGTTTAGTTATATAACTGCCTTAAATTGGGAAAGCAGGTGCCAACGGGCTGTGGTATATGTGCTAGGCCTCAGGGTCTTAGCTGGATTAGAAGGGGTAGAATACCTTATATTCCCCTCACTTAATGTTTTCAAAATAGAAAACATCTTCACTTAAAGGAACAACCCTGTCTACTCCACAGGTTCTCACTGGGCAGTAGAACAGGGCAGAGAAAACAGCTCTCAGCCTAGGATGAGAGCTCACCACTCCTTTCTCAGTCACAACTCTTATCAAGGTCTTGGGCTCTAGACCTGCTTTTTCCTCCCCACCTTAAGCCAACCTACAAGACCAAACCATCTCTGATCAGCTGGATCTTCAGACCTGCAGTGCACACTCCCCACCACCTCCGGCATGGCTAGCTCTGACTTGTTACTGCTACTCTGCCAGCCTGTCAGTTTCATACTATCCTTCACAACCTTCACCTTCAGTTTTTGCAGGGCCCAGTCCTTTTTTTTTTTAAAAAAAAAAAAGATTTATTTATTTGTACATACAGAACTGGGGTACAGGCCAGAGATGCGGAGGGTGAGAGGATTCACCAGAGACAGAGTGGGGAGCAGAACAGGCAGATTGACGAAGTACACTGCTGAGGGGAGCAGTGGGCGGGTCAGGAGAGGTCTGCCTCACCATGTGGTCACCTACGGGGCAGGCGGGAATCGAACTCATGCGTAAGTGGCTTCAGCTTCTCAGTGCAGTGCTTTAACCCGCTGTGCCACC